TAATCGGCGTAACCAGCGTAACCAGCGTATCCACAGCGTAACCAGCGTAACCAGCGTCATCGGCGTAATCGGCGTAACCAGCGTAATCAGCGTAACCAGCGTAACCAGCGTCATCAGCGCAGCTAGCCACCGCCAGCGTACCAGCGTGCAATCACTCGCGGACACGCTTTGCTACGTCGCTCAAGAAAAATGAATTCATCAATAATGACATGAATGACCCAATTCGAAACGTGTTTTTCTCCGCACTTCTGAAGTGTTCAAGTGCAGGCCAAGTGCAACTTAATACCTTGCTGCAGTCGTAGAAAAGCTGCGTTGGGCTTGAGCGACCTGTTCTAAAGTCGTTGTTGTTGTTGTTGTTGGTTGTTTTTCTGTTTAGTTAGTTCTGTCGCATTCCGCCCTTGCTTCAGTCATCTGAGAGGCTGCCCACCTGGACAGAGCCGAGACCGTCCGACGTCCGGTGGTCGCTGCGGCTCCAGGCGAATGGTTCGATAGCGTGAGCTGTTTGATCTCCTTCTCCCGGGCGGCTCGAGACACCAAACCGGTCCCTTGGAGAAGAGAGGAGAGTCTCGGGGCGGGGAGAGACCGAGACTGGTTGAGATGGGATGATGAGACGTGTAGAAGTACTGCTTGGGGAAGAGGTTTAGAAAGCAACGACTTATACATCATTTTACATCCCATATGTTATCCCACAGATTTGTCCATATATAGTTCTTGTGAATCAACATGAATCAACGATTAGATCGACAGGAGTTCCTGATGCACTTGGCTAGCAACCACTCTTTGAGTACTTGAGATGCAGAGTTGGACCAACATCTTCAGGTCGGAGTGTCAACAATAATATATATATAATATATCCCTAGGCCTCCAAGCACCTTCAAGAGAAGGTGTTTGGGGTGGGTTTGGAGGGTTCAAATACCTACTGAGGAGGTACTGGAGGTGTAGGGTGGACTTTCAGTTCACACAGTTCCATATCGATGCTTCAAAAAAATCCAAGACCATTAATGACCTGACACACTGGTTTTGTAGTGTCAAATCCTTCGTAAATCAACGGTGAAGCCTATTAAGATTACTGTATATGATTGTGGTAGGAATCCAATAAATCAATGGTTGTTCGGTAAGAACACAAGAACACATTCAATCGATGGTTGTTGTAAGCCGAACGGGGTTCCCTCAAGGGCGACCCTAGGATGCCAATTGGACCGTCGCGGGGAGGACGGTCGTGTGTGCGAAGCCACGACCAGCCTCGTCTCGCCGCCACAAGAACCAGACATATTCCAGATAGACACTCCAGGTATGATAAGACCATATGATGAGATGTCAAAAACCTATAGGTAAGTTTTTTTGGAAGGTGGTATGGGAAATTGTTAGGATTCAGGAGGTTGATTTTAAGTATTGGTTTAATAGCGGGCCCCCAGCAGAATCATGCAAATCACCAAGGCAGCGCTAGATTGGCGCTAGGTTCGCGGTGGATTTTTTGTTTGTAGATGTGTTTTAAACATGTTTCAGGTCTGGCAGGCTTGGGTGAACATGTATTCATTACTGCCATAGGTTTGAACCAACGAATGTTTTGGCTCAAGTGACTTGGCCAAAATAGCGTTTGTTCTCTCTTTTTGAGGGCGGAACCCTTGGAGAGACAGTTCTTTTTTGTGCAGGGAGGGACCCTGTTTTCCCATGAGCGAGTTGGGAACCAGCCTTGCTGCCTACACCAGGTACCAGGTGATTCATGCCGCCGCGTGGATGGAGTTCAGCGCTCACCTTCAGGAGCTGGTTGCTGAGGGGCGCGAAGGGGAAGCTTTGCGCCTCTGGGCCTCCGTGGTGGAGTTGGTGCATCTGGGGTCCCCAGGGCAGCCCCTCTCCATCGCTGGGTTCCCCCCGGTACGTCGGTTCGTATGTACCACCATACCGTGTGCAAGGTGCACCGACCGTCGGGGCGGCTTCCAGTTCCCATGGGTGGGCGTATGGAACCGCCGCTGCTTGCTGGTTCAAGAGGGACTTGGGCCAGCGGTCGCGTGGCAGCGTTACCATGCCTCTGCGGCGCGCTTGGACCGCCTGGCGCTGCAGTGGATTGCCTTTGACCTGGGCCCGTTGGACATCTTGCCGGTCCACGTTGGTTTGGCCGTGGAGCGGCTGGACGACGGGGACGATGGCATCGACACCGAGGAGTTCTTCGAGCTGGTTCGGCTTTGGCAGCAGGGGAGGCGGCCATGGCGGGAACCATGGTCGTCCCTGGTTGGGACCCCAGGCATTCCCCGTGAAGTCGCGAATGCCGGCCGATCCATCCGTGCGATCCTGGGGGCCGTGGCCTATGACGTTGAGTACATCCCCCCCCTCTGCCTCCTTTGTCGCCTGCCCACGTTCGAGTCCTGTCGAGTCTGTCGATCGATCGTTTGTGAAAGCTGCAACTTCTGGTCAAGGCAGTGCCCGCTGTGCATCGACAGTTCTGGCTCAGACTAGTGCGATAGTCCTTGCAGGGCTCATGGCTGACAGGGGGCGCTACGCGGTCGAGTCAGCGGGGAGCTCCAGGTGGGACCCGGAGACCTCGTCTGAAGTGGCCCAAGCCGCCCGTGTTCGTGAGTTCAGGGAGCAATACCACCTCTTGGACGATGCGGACTTCGCTTTTGCCTTTCGGTCAGCGGAAGAGGCCTTGTTGGCCGGGGGCCGGGGATTGGCCGATGCTTGGACTAAGGCCCGCTCGGAGCAGACCGAGGAGCTGATGCCGTTGGCGGCCTCTACAGTGGAAGCTGGCTCGAGTCGTGACAGGCCGGCACATGCTCTTCACCTACCCGCTCCTCCAGTGCCTGTTCGGAAGGGAGTGACCCTTTCGCAACAAGCCTTCAGTGCTGACAGTGTGAACAGGCGGGTGGAAGCGCTGGCCAAGGTGTTTGAGGACGCCGGGATTCATCGCCCTTCCGTGGGGAACCTCTCAGATGCGATCCTCGCTGAGTGGAAACTTCAACTCACTCGATTGGCGCAGGTCAAAGTGACCAAATCGGAACCTCAGACAGTGGTGAACGCTGTGCGCACGTGGTCGGAATTGGTCAGCTTTATGCGCTCTCGAGATAGGACTACGATAGAGCATTTGGATTTGGCGTCATTCCTGGCCTCCGGCTCCAAAGGACCCAAGCGGGCATTGAACTCGGGCATTTGGGGTGGCAGTTGGATGCGATCGTGCTGGATCCACCTGCCTCACGGCGGGCAGCTGCGCGATCCCAGGCTCTCGTTGTCGAGCCGCCCATGCTCACCCACTTGGAGCGTGGCATCAAGGAAGCCTTCACCCGACAGGACCCTCGCTGGACTGCGATGCTGGGAAGTTGGATCGTGGGCGTAGGGGTACTACGCTACCGGCATGTCCAACGCGCTCAGATGGTGCGATTGTCCCGCTCAACGATGTACTGCCATTGCCCCAAAGGGAAGCAGGCGAGCAAACGTGATGGCTTCGACTTCTCCATCCCCTCGCAGTTCACAGATGGCTGGCCCTGGGCAGAGCATGTGGTGGCCCTTCGGAACCAGTTGCCCGAGGCCCAACGAGATGCAGGAGGCCTGTGTTTCAATCAGGAAGGCCGCGCGTGGGACATCTCTGAGGTGCAGGCCGCAGGTCGTGAGCTGTTCCAGGATCTTGTGACCGATGTGGCAGACCTCTCCACCTACTCGTGGCGCCGGCTCATGCCCACGGTGGCGTTGCTGGCCAAGTACACCCCGGTTGAGATGGTGGCCTTGGGGGATTGGCAGTCCAAGAGTGAGCTTCCTCAGGAGGCCGCCATGCCGACACACTACGCAGGCAGCCGTGATCTCGTCAGCATGAGGCTCAAACATCTGTCGCTGGGGCTTGTCGCCAGGTTGGGCGAATTTGACGCCTGGGAGCTGGCAACTCCATCTGCCATCACTGCCGCAGTGGACGCGGCCAAGCCCGAGGTGCAGCGGGCGGTGAGCCTCGACAAGCACAGCTTGTGGGACAAGCCGATGTCGGTGGCAGCAGCGCAGCGCGCGTTCGCTTTCTCCCGAGAGCGTGCGGCGCTCACAAGAGCGGCACAGGCCAGTTCCAAGCGCTCAGAAGCTGTGATGCCCCCTTCTATCAACGGCAAGGTGGTCACTCGATTCCTGAGGAACGGCAAGGCGCTATGCCCCAACTTTCAGTTGGACGCATGCCACGTCGGCGAGGGGACCTGCGGTGAAGCCCACCTTTGTGCCATCGTGCTGAAGACTGGCCGTGCCTGCGGGGGGAAGAACCTAGCTGAGGCTTGCTTGGCAAAGCGCTATGTGGTAGCCGAGGACGTCGAGCACACCCCTCTGGCGAACGTCGCAGTACCCAGCACCGCAGAGCCAGTTGATCTCCCCGTGGCCGACGCCCCTGAAGCATCACATCGATCATCATCGCCAGAGAGCACCTCCAGTGAAGATGAGTCCTCAGCAGGCCCTCGCTCCCCGAGTGCGTCCCCGAGTCCAGTCCCGGCTCCCAAGACCAAGAAGCTGCGCACCGCACCACCCCCGGACACTGAGGCAGTACCTTCTCCAGTGCAGCCCGTGGCGCCCAAGGCAATGCCGCCCTCGGTGGCGGCGACAGCTGCGGCGCCCAAAGCCTCGGAGGTCATTCCACCATGGCGAGCAGCAGCAGCCGAAGCCACGGAGGCTCCCAGTGACATCTTCGAGATGCCCGAGCCCCCGGCCGCGTTCACACCCAATGTGCACGACCAGCGGTGGGACCGCTTGGCCACCGTGCGGGGGAAGAGCGCGCAGGCGCCGACCAAAGTGCTGTCCGTCCAAAGTGGCGGCACGTTGTGGTTGGGTGGATTGCCTACGAACAGGTCAGCATCAGCCTTTCCAGCCGTCACTCTTCAAGTGGCATGCATGCTTGAGGAGCCTTCGCAGCGGGGTGGCATTTGCTTGCAGGGAGCGACCCTGCGCAAGTTTGCTATCGCCCACCCTGATAGGCGAGACGAGCAATGGCGCGACCTGTTTCCGCTCCTGTGCAATACATTGTGGGGAGGTGAGGATGTGCTCCTCCACTGCATTAGTGGCCGGCATCGCGCGGCGGGCACCGCGTGTATGATCCGAGCCATTTTGCTCCGGGAGCGCTTTGAAGCAGCTTGGGACTACTTGGCAAGTGTGAGGGATGTCGACATCCAAGGCTTGCTGAGAGACAGGGCCTTGGCTGGTTGGATCCATGAGACCCTTCGCACATCTAGTCTGGGCAATGCCTGGCCCCGGCCAACCGGATACATCGCGACCGCCCGCAGTCAGCTGCACATCCAGGGCTATGAGGACACTCCCCTTTGCTCACATCGCCAGAGCGGCCAGAAGAGCAAAGGGCGCTTGGCACAGCCGTCTAAGTGTACCTCGAAGATGGAGGCGATTGCCTGGGGCAGGCCAACATGCCAAGTTTGTGCCAATAGAGCACCAGCCTCCTGGATCCCTTGAGGAGGCTGTGGCACCTGTTTTCATCTTGTCGCACAGCGACACATAAGAGCAGCTAGCCCCCCTTTTGGCGATGGAGTGATCCGTTGCCCGTGGCGAGCTTGACCAAGACAGCGTGAAAACAGAGTG